TGCGGCATCTCCAACCAGGACGCCGCCTGCGGGATGGAACCACGTCTCCAGCATCACTTCCAGGCAAGCAGGAGGGGGAAGCGTCTATCGTCAACACGCCCTTGAAGACCCCTCGAAACACCAGCTTAGTGTTTTATACAAACATGCTTCCTCCATCGCAGAGAACCCAACATGAAAGGTTTCCCGCAGCGCGGAAATAATCACCTGTGTGCGTGCGTGCGTGCGTGTGCACACAAGAGAAGACTCGTGCATGTGTGCCTGCGTGTGCATGTCTATGCGTGCGTGTACGTGGCTGCGTGCGTCTGTACGCATGCGCGCACATATGCGGTCACGGTATTTGGTATTTTGTTTTGCTTTCTGAATTTTTAGTGCACAACCTGATGAAGTAGTTTTCAAGTGTTAAGGGCAAAAGGGCTGTGAACAAGTCATATCTCCAAACACCCAAGTCACCCTCATGAGCTGAGATATTAAAACTTAGCAAGGCAAATGGGAACGGGCTTTAATTTCCCACCTCACAGGTACTCCGGGGAAGGTACTCACTAGGTGGAGTGGGGACATGAATCCTCATGGTACGTAAATTACTTCTCTCGTTCTTTAATTCCGTATTACTGTTGGGAGGCCCAGTGGGCATAACCCCAGCCTCGACACACACCTCTCCTGCCTTCCTGCCTGCAGGACTGGACCTCCTGCACCCCGTGAAAACCAGACACCCCGCCGGCTACACTCTCCCTACACTTCTTCCCCGGCACCTTCCCCCTTCTCACTCTATCTCCTCCTGTATCTTTGTCTTTCTCCTTCCATGAGGCCAGCTCTGTGAGGGCAGGGGTTTGGGCTGTTTTGGTCCCTGGCCCTGGGACAGCACCCTGCACACAGCAGGACCTGGTAAGCCTCTGCTTCCCGTGACCACAACCCAGGCGGCTGCCCAGCTCTCCGAACCCTCCTTCCCCATTTCCTTCAGGGCATTTATCACAAATGGGTGCTGGTTTTTCTCTGAAAGTGTGTTTTACATATTTTTTTCTCTCTCTTCACCAGAATAGAAGCTTCACAGAAGCAGCAGTTTGCTTTGGCACCACTGTGTCCCCAGCACTTCCAAGAGAGCCCGGCATATGGTAGGTGTTCAAGAAATGTGAGCTGAGTGAATCTTCGTTATCATCCTCACAGATCACGTCACCTGTATTCTCTCTCTAGCTGCTCACAACACCCTGGGAGACAGGCACCATTATTCTCATTTCATAGCTAAGAGAAAGACAGGCAACAACTTGCCCAGGTCACGCTTCTGGCAGGGGTGGGACCAGCCAGTTAATCCCAGGCCGTCAGACTTGAGCTCTGCTTCTACACACTGTGCTATGGCCGTCCCTGGAGCTGTGCTGTAGCACGAGGCCTCCTGGCTCCTGGACTGCAGTGTGGCCTAATGATTGCCCCTCCAGCCCATCCTCCTTGACACCTCCAGGCATTCTCTACCAGGGTGACATTTCCACATAGCACATCTGATCACCTCATTCTGCTTTAAATCTCTTTGATAGCCTTCTACTTCTACTAGTAGAACACATGGTGGGGGCCCTTGCAGCACAGGAAATCGATATTTATAGTAACCTCATTATAATGAAGATGTATCAACTCTGGAAAATGACAGACCATAAAGAAGATGATGGACGTGGGAGAAATGCTCTGCCTTTGAGATAAGAAATAAAGTGAAAAGGCTTATTTGATTATGATACTGAACCTGTCAGCACCTCCAGAAGTATTTATGTAGTATCTGATGAGAGTCAGCAGGGTAGAGGGACCTGTGAAATGAACACAGCAGGGCCCCACCCACACCCGCTAGTTTAGCATCTCTAGGGACAGGATCAGGGAATCTACTTGTTAGGTAAGTATTCTTGGTGCCCCAGCATCAGCCACGAACCTAGACTTTTCAACTCCTGGAAAAGGTGAGTCCCTGCATGCTGGGCAACACTGTCAACTATGAGCATTAAGACACACCTAGCTCTGCTTAATAACCAATAAGGCACCTTTGTTCAACAGTAATGCTGCATACCTCAAGCTTCCCAAACCCAGGCCACAAGTTTCAAAAATTGTCCAATGCTTGAGAACAGGACACACTGCACTATGGAAACCAGAACCAGCACAGTGAGGGGTAGGGAGCCGGGGACCTCGATGTCATGGGGCCCTCCAGATCCCAAAGTGCTGCCTCTCAACCGAATCCAAACTGCACAGAGCAAATCCCTTTATTACTTTATTAAAAGGATTTACTCTGAAAATTTTGGATGCAGTCAAAAGGCTGCACTGAAGGATGCAGCAAGCCACGTGTGGCGCACGGCTGCAGGTTCCCCACCCCATCCCTTCCTGCCATGGCTAGAAAACTGTGAGACACCCACACACACACAGACGCCATTCCCCCAGCACACTGGTGGACTTCTAAGCTAGTTCACAGTGATCCCTACAAAGATTACAGGTGAGCTTTTAATAGGATGTCCAGTGAGCATCCACCACCCTCTCAACTTCCCGGCACTTTACCAGGTTTCCCTGACATGATCCAAACTAAATCCACTTGTGGACAGGGGCTGCCATTTGACCCAGTATTAGTTCCTGATTCCTCCAGCGATGGGAAGACGAAGGCTGTGCAGATACCGCCCTCTCTGCACCCAGCCCCTCTGTCTGAGTGGCCCCCACAGCATAGGACGGAGCTCCAACAATAAGCCATAGGGCTAAGATTCCAACTAATTTTTTTTCTATTCTTTGACACAAGTTTTCAAATTAACATCTGCAAACAACCCAGAGAAATGCTTTTCTCTACAAATGTAAAAAAGAAAAAAGAGCCAAAAAAGAAAAAAAAAACCCAAACTTAATAAAAGTCAGACAGTCCTGAAAACTACCCTGCAGGACACGGGATTAACTGCGGGGCTGCAGCAAGTTTCCCATCTGAGTCATGCTATGTGGTTTCACAGATTTTTTTTTTTTTTCTGAAATCTTGGAAATGTATTTAAGAACTGTTTTCAGCTCTGATTATTTTCAAATGCTTCTACATAAAAGAAAAAGTTTTACCCTACACAACTCAGAAACTGATAGGGCTCCAGGAACAATGATTGTGCACGGTGATAGCCAAAAAGGGGCAGGAAGGAGAAAACAACAAACAGCACAAGGAGAAAACCACCAGAGAGGGAACCTCCGAGTGACGACACAGGTAGGCACGGAAGCAATTTTTCACTCTTCGTGTAGAAGGAGCAGGCCCAGCACGTGAATTACCACTCCTGACAGAGTCCAGGTAATCTAAGTAACAAACCCAATCTGTTATTATATGAGATGAACAAAACAGTCACTGGTCAGACGCAGTGACGGCAACAAACGAAAGAGAAGAGAGTGAGACTATTCAGGCTGACGTGATACTTAGCACGCTCTAAAGCGAAGCACAAACAAAATCAGCGTGCAGAAGAGTTCCAATCGTGAAGGTCTCCGACTTCCTAGACGCCATCCTAGCTTTCTAATGAGAAATCACAGCTTTAAAGCACACAGTTACTATGTTATTTATGTTTAATAGACTTTTCTAACTTCCTCCTAAGTTCTTAAGCTTTCAACTCTATGCTACACCAAAGAAGGGTTTCTCTTTCTGTTCTATCCATGTCATGAACCTGCACGGCACACCTTCTCGGCCACGAAGAATGCCAGGGCCCGCAAGCCTCTCGCAAACATGCTGACAGAATCTGCCAATACACAGGGCAAGGGTAGCAAGAATAAAGTGGGGTTTTAAAAAGCCCCATCGGTCAAACAAGAACAGCTGATGATGCTGAAGATGACAAAGCAGCGCTCCATTCAGACCTCAACATTTTAAGCCACTGAGAAAGACAAAACAGGTATTAATGCTAGCATAAAAGTATATACTTTTTAATTCAATGTTTATTTGTCAAATACCAACTGCTTTTTCCTCTATTCCTGTTTCTGATCTTTGGAAAAACTGCATCGGTATCAAATGTCACTTGGTTCTTATTCAAACAGAGGAAAGCAGACAGGGCGGCTGCTCCCCTGACTTAGCTGACCTGGGCCCTTAGTAAAAACAAACCTCTGCCAATCCCCAGATGTAAGCAATTGGGTAGTGATCACTTTAATTAATTGGACAGCTTTCCTGAAATTTACTGTATAATTTCAAGCCCCCCAACACCTTTCCCAGACACAACTAACAATGATGTTTTTTTCTTGTTTAATGCCAGAAAATATTTTTTTTTACCTTCAGTGGCTTAAATATATTTTTAAGGTATTCACCATTAAGATGGTAAATTACTTAAATTTTAGACATGAAACCACTGGCATTCTAAACGCTATCTTTAAAATGCTGAAAGTCAAAATTATTCCACAATCTCAGGGCATGAATATAAACATGTCTTCTGCCTTAAAAATACAGAAAATGGACCACAATTTTAAGTGTATTTGAAAACTCCTACAAAATAGTCTGCAGTAGTATTTCTGACTTCAATCACTGATTGAATTTTAACCATATAAACTGATATTTGAAGTTGATGTTTTTGAACCCTGCTTTTCCACTACAGGCACCACACTTAAAGAGGACACTCCACTGGCTTACTGCCAGCTCTCCTTTCTCCCCACAAAACGACTCCAGTCTTTCTCCACCAGGAACTATGTAATATGTAATCCACAGATCCCATGCCAACCATTGAGCAATGCCAGAATTAAAGTCCCAGTCTACAGAACGTTGATCAAAGTTCACATCTCTCTCTGGGGTGCAGGTGGCTTCTTTCAATCTTGGAGACCAGGTCAGCAACAACAGCAAAGTGTCAAGTGTGTTGTTAAAAGGATAACTGGAAATTTAGCAGTGACAGACATAGAGGTGAGGAAACAAGTTAACCAGTTTTAGAAGTAAAGCCCATCTTTATTATACCCTGAAGGAAGCATTCAAATCGTGCTTGTAAGATCTTCATGCTTATCCCTATGGAACTACCACCCACAGATCCTGCCAACACGCATGCAGAGTTCCACTAACATTCACTTACAAGGAGAGAAGCGTAATATTTGCTGAGACTGGTCCCAGATTCGGAATGGACTCCAATTCATTGTTATTCAGTTTCCTAGAAATGCCAAAGAAAAAATAAAAGGCTCATTAGATCACCTCTCATTCACAGAGGTGAAAATGTTACAAATTATTTAAAGATACCTCCCAAGTTAAAAGTTTTAAATAACTTCTTACAATCCAGATGTTCTTTACAGTTAAAGAGAGTGAGGAATATTTTATGCAAACTTTAGGTAGCCAATAACTAAGACTCACACTTCTCGAAGGCTCGGGAGATGGCTCATGGAACTTGCCTTGATGAAAGATAATCTGTTGTGACTTAAGTCCCTAGGGGAAAACAAAAATAAAATGGTAAGTAGTTTCTAAAAATCATGAATGGTGCTAAATGAATACGCAAGGCAGGGTGGGCTTATGCAGCGTGTCCGTGGACGCTGGGGCCAGCAGGAGAAATAATCAGTCCATTCTGCCCACACGTCAGACGGCAACCAAAACGCCAAACTCAAACATACAAACTCTTAGGACAAAATTAGTTTAGGAGGCTGGCGGGTCCAAACACTCAAATCCCAGAAATGTTTTAAGAGATGTTTTTTGGCACACGGTAAACCAGCTCTTTGTGGACTGAAGTTCTGCCTCTCAGTCCCAGCCCTTTCCATCTCCCCAGACCCCGCTTGATATGATGACATCATGGCTTGAGAAAAGGAGCTAAGTAGACAGGTTGCTAAAACCAAACCCTCTAAAGAAACTTTATTGTCATAAAATGGAGCATCCATGTCCTTATTAAAGTCAAACAAAATAAACCGCTCTGTGCACACATACTTGTTTCTCTGGGTCAAGGCACCAAACTGTTCAAGACGTCACTCTGTGTATACTGAGAGGGTAGGAACAGTCTGAACCGGCTGCTTTCTTGAATTCCCCCAGTCTCAGTATCTAGTAGTACCATGTGTGATTTAAGTCACATTTAAGTTAAGCAGAGGGTACAGAAAGCTGTGAGCTGAGTTCAGTCTTTAAAATAAACCTGCTGCTCACTCAAGAACTCAAGCCTAGTATCAATTTCCTTACTATTAACAACAGTAACAAACTCCTACAAACATAAAACTCTGGGCTAGGAAGTCATCTCATTTAGGGTCCCAAATATGGAACCAAGTTTGGGCACATGTGCTTGGTTATGGTCCCCGTATGTGTCAACACACCATGTACCTTCACCACATATAATGGAAATAAAATGGCTGAACAGGTTGGCTGAAAGCTCCCCACTGAAAGAAGTTATCCAATTCTTACTAAATTAATTCTTTCAATGTTGAGAAAACATTTTTAAGATAGCTAGGCATTGGGGAGGGCACCTGTAGTCCCACTTAGTTGCAAGGCCCAGGCAAGAGGATCACTTGAGTCCAGGAGTTTGAGGTTGCCATGAACTATGATACTGTGGCACTCTACCCAGGGTAAGAGAGTAAGGCTGCTCCCCCCTCAAAAAAAAAAAGAAGAAAGAAAAAAATATATTTTTAAAAGATCAAAGTTTTAGATAACTAAAGTAAACTGGAAAAAAGCGTGCCCCTTTCCAAAAATTAAATAAAAAGAAAAAGGAAAGAAATCACAACCAGAGAACCACAGTGTTACTTAGTGATTAGTTCACAGCTAGAAATCAGAAATGCTTTCAAGCTTTGAGGTTTTGTTTTGAGAATAAACCTGGATTTCTCTATTTCACCTAGAAAAAAAAATCTGCAAAGGTTTTATTTGAAATATGTTTGCCTAAAGACCTACCAGACAGTAACAGACATGAGTAGATTTGTTCTGGTAGAGTTATAACATGAAAAAAAAAAATCTGGCACAGTCTTTAAACTATAAAAATCCTGCAATTACAACCACTGCTGTGCAAGCTCACCAGGCCGGCGGGAGCCAGACACTCTCCCTCCCAGCTCAGCCCAAGTCCATCTGGAGTTCATCAAGAAGCTGTGAGTCCAACAACTCACGTTAGGATTCAAACAAAACCTGTGTGCTTTTAGCACCCCAGACAGTCACAGATCTCCCACATGATTTAAAAAACAACCACGGAAAAGAGTCCTTCACCTGGGAGGTAGGCTGAGTCAACAAGTCTCACTTGCACTTACTCAACTAAAGAAGTGGAACCAGCATCAAACTGTATCCCCTATTGTTTCAGGCTTTAGAATGAAGGGGGGGCATCTGGCATGAACATCTAATACAGGTGATTTTCTTTTTAATGAAAAGACCTAAAACTATTCTCTGTACTTCATTTTAAGGATTATTACATAGAGTATTCCTGAGAGAAGTAAGACTGGGCACTCAGCATTTTCAGCCAGTAATGGGGTTAGATCCCCCAACAAAAGACCTTTAAAAACTGAGAAACTGCCTTCGGGAACCATGTACGTGCCGGGACCACTCCTTCCTCGTCCAGAGCAGGAGCTGGCAACTTCAAATATTTCAGTTATTGCAACACACTTCCATTCCTGAGTTTTGTGTACTATTAAAACCACATTATATGTGGGAGAAAAAAAAGCACCCCTTAAATGACTTTTACTGCTAAATACTTAAAGCTATGAAACTTTTAATGTACCTAAATTCAGATTTAATATAGTTTGCATTGCAGAAATGATTACCTTCCAGTAAAGGATGTCACGTTCTCCTAAATCTTCCCTGTATTGTTTTTACGGGTTTCTTAAATCCATACATTACAACATTCAATACGGCAGACAAATTCTTCATTTTTCAGAGTTCCATTAATGAACATCTTCCCAAAACCCGAAACTTTTTAAAAACTTTTTTTGTGGTGAGATTAATAAATTGGAAAGGTAGTGAGGTAGTGAGGTGTTAACTATTTACCCAGAACCCGGCTGGCCAAATACTCGGTTAGAGAGACATCTCTCTTCCCACATATTAGCAAGCAAATAAATATATATATCAATAATTAATTTGCAGCATTTGGTTTCAGCTATCATTTTCTTCCCTTTAGCATTTGGAAATCTGACTTCCAAGTCCAATTTTAAATGCAAATCCAGCACAGCTTCTTAATCAATCCCACTGGGGCCTGCAGAGCTGCTAATTCAGCAGAAATCTGGAAAGCTGAAAAACAAAAAGCCAGGCTGTAGCTGTTTTAAGACACTAATCCAAAGTGACTCATAAATCAGCCGGCTATGTTCAAGTTTTAGTCTGGAAAATAGAGAAAAACAGCTGTGAAAACCATAAGGACTATTACCTTCACCCCACCCCCATTCTGGTACCGACCTGCAGATTTATACAGGGCCAATTCTAAAAAAGTCACACAGGCAGGCAGAAACACTGAGGAGCCCTGTTGAGAACTCAAACACTTCTATGTGATAAGATATCAACAAATAATTCTGAAATTCCAGTGAGAATTTAATAATATTTGGAGCTCTTGTTGGCAACCTAGCAACTTTTCCCTCTTTTGGCTAAATAACACATTTGAACAAACTCCTTAAGTTCAGACTCTGGAAGCACAAACTACACGTAAACTCAAATCTGCCTTTAAACGTAGTTGTCAGCAAGGTTCAAACAGTTAACTGTTTTAAAAGCCACTTTCATTAAAGTGTCAGAAGTTAGTTTTTGAAAGGAGAATTGAGACTAATATTAGTTTATGGCTCAAATTATTCAACTTTTCACAAACGGGGCTCCCATGGCAATAAATTACAGGCTGAACAGAATAAAGTGGAAAAAAATACATATATGGGTATAGATTTTTATTAAACGAGCAAATTCAACAAATGAAACAAAAGACACTGAACTTTTTCTGAATGGTGCTTTCAAAAACTAGTCCAAAGACAAACTTTTATACTTTTACGTACCTAAAAAAAAGGAAGGTTAAGATAGAGGGAAAACAAGACAGCACTTTTCCACTTAGTTCTGAACTCCGAGACAATGTACTTAAGAGCTTTTCTAATCATGTAAACTTGAAGAAGCAGCTTCCAAAATGCCAAATAATAGACAAGATAAAAACATAATTTCACGTTTCTGTGCTTCTTTGCAAAACAAGAGACCTGTAGAGCTTTAGGCACAAACAAAACAAATGTTTACAATAAAGAATTTAGACCACATGGTTTGGTGACACCTACAAAGATGGGTAAAAGTCACACAAGTACCAGAATGACAGAGCTGTCCAAGGAGTGATCACAGTGGGGTTTCTGACAACAGATTGAGTGCTTATTTATACAAGTGGAACTTATTTTCACATACATTTAAGGAATGTGGACTTGTATTGAGACAATTTACTGCTGGCGGAAATGTAATTAAAGACTGTGCTAACCAAATAAACTCTAATTTGTTTTTAGTGTGCCACCAAATTATCTGCAAAACAAAATCCTAATTAGGTCAGCTACTTTTAAGACAATGTTTAAATAGCTATTGAATCCCTTTTTGGTTAGACTCAACTTCTAATCAAGGGCAACACAGTTATTTTCTAAGACATCTAAATCCACACATACACACACAAAAAACATAAATAAATAAAAATAGACTGCACACCAGCATGATCACAATGGGCCACTTGACATTGAGAAACTCATGAATATAAGTTGGATTAACCCAAGCATTTCTAAACACACCCTAGGAAGCACTGGATTCATTTTCTCTGTCATCCCTCCATTATTCATCCGTGTTCCCCTGCAGTCATTCAAACGTTCAGTTCCATATGTTGTCAATAGAGCTATTCACGTTTCATGAATAAGGCAGCATGACCTCCTCAAGAGGCAATTGAACAGAATTAGCCACGACTAATTGAAAGTCTTCCTGCTTTAGGTTAAAGCCCTTATCTCCTTCTTCAATTGTAATAAAAACTACTAAATAAAACATCCCCAACAAGATTAAGTAACAACCCAATACCCTCTAATTCTACTCTTTTATTAAGTGAAGGCATTTTAAAAACACACTCAAAGAATATGCTGTCTGATGGTGCACAATTCACAAATAAAAAGATATAGATTAGCACAATAATTTTAAAACAGTTTCCTAAACCACCTGACCAAACCTTCTACCACTGTAGGTCTAGAATCTACTACAACTGTTTAAAGAATTTAGAATCTTCACTGCAATTCTGCTAGGCCAAAATCTAAGATTAAGTATTGAACTGCACTTTTACTGCTTTTAAACAGGACAACTACTTAAAAAAAAATTAATACAAGTTTTGATTTGTTTACATTTTACAGCACTCCTCCAATTTTAAAAGTGGAGGGTGGGAACGAACAGAGGAGAGACGACATTGGGAAAGAATCAGCATTACAACTAAATCACAGTTTCTCCCTTGTCCGTCCACGCAGTTGGCAGTGATTTCAGACTTCACAACTAAAATCCAAAAATTTGCATAGCAGCACCCTGAGGTCTCCCCTAAGCCCTCTTGGGCATGCTAAAAACTCCAGAAACCCGCCCCTGCTTCTGAAAACTCCAGTTCCTTTCTCTCTGTATCTACTGATCCGCCCTACAACCAACTTCTTATCGAGACTGGTCCAAGAGGACGCACGTACAGGGTACTAATGTGAAATCTAGCACAGAACAGAAGCACGGCACCATAAACTGGATAATAATGACCAAATGCTGTTGAGAGAACTTCCCAAAGTAAAAGGCACGGGTTTTACCACTGACTGGTTCGGAAAAGAAAAAGAGGCCCGAACCAGTTAGTTACTAAAGTTGAGCCACAAGCTAAAGACTGAGACCGAGAACTGCGAAGTCCGGTTGTGCGCAGCTGCCACCTCCCCCTGCTCGGCCCGGCAGGCGCGCGCATTTGCACACCCTTGGCCAGCGTAAGGCGCAGGGACAGCGACTCTTGGAATTATCAGTGTCCCCCTCGTCTCGCCAAGAGCCCACCTGAGCCGGCCGCTGGGCACGTGGGAAGGAAACTGAGGCCCGGGCAGTTCTTTTTCTAACTCCCCGGGGCGCCGACCGCGACTGGACCCGAAGCCTCTGCTCGGAAAGAAAACCTAGCGTGCCCAGGCCCGAGCAAGTAGACCCTCGCCCGCCCCGGTTTTCCCGACTCTCGGCGGTCCGCTGCCCTCCGCCCGCGGGAAGGATACTCACAGCCTAGCGACCCAGGACGGGAGCGGATCGGGGAGGCGCACCAGCCGCTGGCGACTGCAGTCCAGCAGGTCCCCGAGGCAGCGGCAGGGAGCGGGGCACGGGCGCCGGCCGGCAGCCCCGGAGGGCGGCCCGAGCGCCCCGCGGCCCAGCGCGGCGCACAGCAGCAGCCCCAGGGCCGCCGCGGGCGCACGGAACGTCGGTGCGCCCATCGTGATCCCACGGCCCCCGGCCTGGCCCCGGTCCGCAGCCGGCGCGCCCGGGTCCCGCACCACCTGGCCCCCCGACGGTGGCCGGCCACGCTCCGGGCCGCGCGCGCGCGCTCTCTCAGTCCCAGTGAACTCCTTCTTCTACTCCCGGCCGCGAAGCCCTTTCATGCCCCCGGGCAGCAGGAGGCAAAGCGAAAAGATGGGCCAAGCGTGGCTGAATCAAAACTCTAGCAGCACGCAGCGCCGGAACCCACGCTACCCCGAGAAAGAAACTTTCTCGCCTCCGGCCGCGGCGCCGCGAGGGGGATGCGGGCGGGGCGGGACGCGGAGGGGGCGGGGCGAGGGGAGGCCGAAGGCGCCCATTGGCCGGCCGGGCCTGGAACACGTGACAACAACACGGCTCTGGGCGGGGCCGACGGGGAGAAAGTCGAGCTGAGATTGTAGAAAGGCCGAGTTACATTTTCCAGTCTCTCTGGCCAGATGTCTTGGCTCGGTCCTATGAAACTTGGACCAAGTGGAGCGGAAGGGCAGAGGAGAGTGAGCTTCCAAGAGAGCAAATACGAGCCTGGCTCTCAGCGTTGGAGGGGTTTAGGGGGACTTCAGGGGAACAAAGTTAACTTAGCTCTGTTATGAAATTTATAAATTATCCTGCCACGCACAGATGAAACAATGGTTTTAATAAAAATACAGCCTTTTAACATTAATACTGGTGGAGTTTATATACACACACATATATATTACATAAACATATATATACACATGTTGATTCCAGAAATAAAAATAATAAAATGTGAAAGTTAAGGATTTGGAGATGGAATATTGTGTTAAAAATAGCCTTAGCAAATTGGATAGAACCTCTGGGAAAATGACCGTCTAATAAACCACGAGGGCAATCATAATTTCCAGGCGACAGCTAAGAACAATAAAAAGTCAGAGTGATATTTCAAAGCAAAATGAAAACTAGGACCTTGGAGGAAGAAATTAATAAACACACTTTGGTCTACCTGGGCTTTGAGCAATGACACATCGTGACTGAGAAGGCCACCAAGCTAAAAGTGCTTCCCTGCCACCTCAGCCAGGGGTGGATGGAATTGGGCTGCAAGGCTTGGCAGTGAAGTCCACACCTGCTCTTGCTCTTACAGGTGAATGGGCCCACGGGATGTTGAAATTTATGGAGACCTCAGAGATTATCTGCTAATGTACTCATCAGAGTAAGGAAATAGACCTAGAGAAGATAACTGATTGGTTTGTGGCAAAACCCAGGAAAGCTTATTTTAGGCTTCCACTTATATACATTGTTTATCGACTGCTGCCCAAGCATATCTGTCCGTGGGGCTGCTTACACTGGCCATTACTGAGGAGTGTGAGACTTTAACCCCAACTCTAATGCCCGTTTGATTTTCACTGTAGCAAATCACCGTTGCTTGGGGGACAGGGAAAATTCTCTGAAAATTCTTTGAAGTTGACACACCCTACTTTAGACATTACAGCCCATGCTTTTCTTTCTAGCCACCAGTCAACCCCACCAGTTTTCTTGATGATGTACAATTAGAAAATACTTACAATAATGGCATCTCGGTTTTGAATTGTGATTTTTCCTGCTTGGGAGTGGAGAAGACACACCCCAGTCTTGCTCAGAGTTTTCCAGTTCAGTATTCGCCACCCATTCCACTATCCTATCAGGAAAATTGGGTTTGGTTCATTATTGCTTTTTTTTTTTTTAAAGAAAGATACCCTTATGCACAAGTTATTATGACAAGCATGGTGGCGTCAGCATGCTGGTTTGCTCTCGAGACATCACCTATGTGATAAAGATAGAAATTTGCTAACATTTGGGGAGGTGTGGCTCACTTCCTTTTCATTTTTTTGTTTTCCTTAGATCATTTTACCTTCTATGAGTTCCATTCACATATACATGCTGCCGTTTACAGCATCTGTATTTCCAACCCAGATCTTTTTCCTAAACTGACCCACATATTCAGCCACCCATAGGTTATATCAAATCGGATGTTCAGTTCAGGTGTAACGTGTCTAGAAGTAAATTTCACCAGCCCTGAATTCACTATCTTGAAGAATAACTCCATGCAAATGACTGTTCCCAAACCTAAGTCGCTCTTAATGTTACTTTTCAGCCATCATTTCCACGTGCAGTCAAATAGCAAGTCCTGTTGAAGCTACGGTAGCGCCTAAATGAATCTTCTTTCCTCATCACAGACATTATGTAAATTCAGACACCATCAGCTCTTGCTTGGATTACTGCCACAATCTCCTTCCTCTTCCACTCATGTCTCTACAATGCAGTCCAGTGACACAGCCCCGAGGTTCAAATCTGAGCCAGTGACCCAACTACCCAGATCCCATTCACAAATTCTCATTGTTCTGGGAATAAAGTTCAAATTCTTTAGGGTAAATTATGCAGCTTTTCCTTGGCTTGGGCCTCTACTTTCTTCTTTTACTTGTTGTATTTCATCATTTCCCTCCTACTCTTAGAACTTCTTGGGGTTTTCTTCCCAGCTGTGATCTTTGCCTTTGATCCTCTTTCAAATGCTGGTTCCTCTGTCCAGACTGCTGTGGGACCCTCTTCTGCCTGGTTGACTGGCACTTCATCTTAGGCATCCCGCCCTCCTTTGGAGAAGACTTCCCTGAGTCCCGCTTAATTACATATCCCTCTAACATACTCCCAGTCCAGTATTCGCTAGGAGTGACCATTTTCATTTAAATTTTCGGTACCCATGTTACCATAAAGACTTTTGCATCTAAATGTTTATATAACCTTATTTCACAATCCTAAAGACATGGGACCAACCTAAGTGCCCCTCAACCCATGAATGGATTAATGAACTGTGGTGTGTATGTATACCACGGAATACTATTCAACCATAAAAAGATGGAGACTTTACATCTTTTGTCATTCCCTGGTTGGAGTCGGAGAATATTCTCCTTAGTAAAGTATCTTAAGAATGGAAAAACAAGCATCCCGGGTACTCAATACTAATTTGAAATGAGTAGATCAACAACTACAGGCCCACATTAGAGGAAAAACACAATTAAATTCAAAAAGGGGGGGAATAAAGGGAAGGGACTCAGTAGCTCCCACCTAACCAGTACAATGTGGAGGAATATGGCAAACTACTGGGGTGAAGGGCCCAAGTACAGCTAGGACTTTTCCTAACAAATGCAAACCACATAGTCTAGTTGTATGAACCCTTATATTAATTCACAATTGAAAAAATTAAGTTAAAAAATAAATTTTTAGTAGCTGAGTTTCTCAATCTATAAATTTGGGAATACAATTTATTGTATTCTTCCTCTTCTCAGCTCACTGCAGTAGTTCTCTGCACATACTAACTGATGCAACCAGCTGAAATCTAGGAGCTGCCAGCCCCTCCCTAGTCCTCTATATCACATGGGCTCCTACCAGTACGGTGTTGAGCTGCAGTAGTTCCAGACTTGTTTTTATCTATTATTACACAATTCAATACTGTGTGAGCCACATATGTATATGAATGCAACAAGAAAATAGGTTCGTTTCTATGATAATGAATTTGAAGCTTGGGAAAGATTCTTTAACGGTACCCACTAAGACAAGGCCATCAAATTAGATGTGGACAAGTCAGTTGCAAAAATAGGGGGAGGGGATCATACATACCCAGGAATTTTTTTTTTTAACATGGACTTACTTTGCAAACGTCTTTAAGATCTTGTTCCACTTTAATTGTAACTGGGAATTAATCAGCAGAGGATGAGTTACAGGTGTGGTTCATGCTGACTCAGCTCTCCATGTGGTCCTGAGAACGTACAGGACATGGAAGGATGTGGTGCACATTCCAAGCCGCTCTTCTCGGTTCTAATACGTGCCTCACCGTGCAGTCGATGCAAGACCAGCTAGTCCTGTGTGGAAACTTTAAAGCATTTTTGTAATATTTACACAGATTTCTCAAACCCTTCAAAAGCCACAGGGGAGCGAGAACTTCCACTGGTACACACGGCCCCTGAGGACTGAACGCCTTTGGAGGTCCCTCTCAACCCTGTGCTGACTCCTTTGTAGTGAATGAAAAGAGGAATAAAGGGAGACTGCTGGGAAAATAGTTTGTAGTAGGAAAAGAAGAACATGAAATTCTGTCTCATCTCCCCAAATGGATCAGTAAAAACAGCAACACAGAAACAAGCTTAATGGATCAGTGAGTTCTCCCATCCTCTTAAGACGTTGTTTCTCCGTATCCACACACAGAAGCACAGACCCATGACATCAGATGTTGAATTTCAGTTTTTCTGGCTAATGTCTCACGAATAAAGTTTAAGTGGGAGAAAATCAAACTCGTTTTCCCCAGAGGCCTTTGAGCACTTGAATGAGAGTGAGATGAAGGTTGGATTCCTCCCCTCCTTCTGAGATTTGTACTGGCTAACCCGGTAGGTGAAAGTTGAATTGCCCTTGGCAATCCTCTAAATCACGCCAATCTCTCAATTATAACTTTGTCTCCGACCTACCAGCCCTTTCGTGGTTAGTATAACCCGCCCAGTCCCTGGCTCTTTTCAGTTTTCCTGGGTTTTTTTCCTCTCTCCTGCCCCTGGCAAGCGTGAGACTGTCTTATCTTAAGTGCTGGCAAGGCCAATGACTCAGAGATAAAAAGTAATAGAGGTGCTAAGCTGTCAGTTTTAACATCCAAGGACAGAATGGAAGCGGAACACTCAGGACTTGCTTTATCATTACAATGAATGACACAGTTTGTGTGCGAGCTGTGAAAAGGGAAAAGCGATAAGGCCAAGGGGGAGGAAAGCCCAGAAATCCCCAGCTAATGTATGAAGCCCAGGGAGAATGTTGCTGTACTTTGTAACCTAACCCTATCTTTCCCCACTCATTACGGCGCTTTAGAAGAAATAGATAACCCTTCTCCCCCGTCTCTCTGTCTCTCTCCCTCTCTCCCCAAGCTTCCTTTAGAGAGGAGAGCAGAGTCTTCCTTCACACAGTCCCTGCGGTCAGTATGTATCACCTCTTCAGAAAA